CTATGTGACAGAGCTACATGTAATGTGGGAACAAAGTCAATGTGGACATTGATCCCTAAAACCCATCTTTTCTCCATAGAACATAAACAGCAAGTATTATCCTATTTTACAACGAGAGATTTTTAAGATTTAAAGGACAAACAGCTGGCTCAGTATCATAAAATGGCCCCCAAGATGAGAAGAATGTCCATCTCTCCCTCTACTTCCTTCCTTCTTTTCAAATCCAGGGGGAAGGAAACATCTTCTGCAGAATGAGCTATTTATTTTTTGCCATGCAGACCCTTATTAGAGATTCATCTATTTAAACATAGCAAAATCTAGAGGAGAAATAATTTCACAGCAGTATTCCAAACTGAACTTGGAAATACTCTATACAGTAATGAGATCCAGCAGTAATCCTGTAAATTCAAAATCATCCCTGTAGGCAGATAGGATTTCGCCGCTATATCAAATGGCCCAAAACATATTATACTAATGGTTAAGACTGGTACTTAAGCAAGACATTATTTCTGGTCAGCTATGAGAAGTACTAGCTAGACCTAAAATGGTGAAACCAGCTTGTTTCAATGCCATCCACCAATTTAACATTTTTAGAAAGGTCTCTTTAAATGCACTGGGCCATATTATTATGATATATGGTCACTGGGAAGCCTGTGTACAGTCCTGCTTTCTGTAACAAACCCTGATCAGAATGCTCTGGGTAGGGGTGCCTGGGTGGTTCAGTCGGTGAAGCATCTGCCTTCAGCTCAGGTCATGATCCCAGGGTCCTGGGATAGAGCCCCACGTTGGGCTCCCTGCTCAGAGAGGATCCTGCTTCTCCCTCTCCCTCTGCTTGCTGTTCCCTCTGCTTGTACTCATTCTCTCTCTCTCTCAAATAAATAATTAAGATCTAAAAAAAAAAAAAAAAAAAAGAATGCTCTGGGACAGGAAGGAGATTTTGTACAGAGAAACAGAATGATCATGATAAGAGCTACCGAGGATGCATGCCTATGTATCAATACACCCAAGTGCGATGCTCCTATGTGGCCTGCAACAACCTGGTAAGGTGGTTGTGATCAGCTCTCACTACAGACTCAGAACTCCAGGTTCAGAGAGCCTTTGTAGCCTTGTCTGATGTTTCACAGCTGGTCGGCTACCAGAATCCCGAGCCCATTTGTTGCCCGGAATGCCTGTGTCCTTTCCTCTCCTGGCCTGACAGCCATAAAGGGAGCCGTGAACACACTACTGGTTTGGGTTCTCCCTCTTCTAGAGAAGATCTGAATCATGCTATCAGCCCTTCCTGGCAGCACGGCAAAAAAGCCAACTAGATATGACACCAGAAGACCTGGATTTGAGTTCCAACTCTGTTGTGGCACTTCTGCTAGTCACTAAATGTCACCAGAAAGTGGAAAAGATCCCATTCTACTGTGTTTTCAAGAGTCATCTTTTTGAAAATAAGTAAGATCACTTGCTAATAAGAGTCAGGCAAGTCAAAAGGGAAAGCTCTAAAGGAGAAATATTGATTATTTCTATGAGGTTCGACCTCAAGGAGCACTTTATCTACAGCTAACTGCCCGTGAAGATGTTCACACTGTATAACCTGGCATCCTTGGATGTAGGTTAAAGAACATAACTCAGTGGAAACAAAAACATGCATGCGAACATGCATGGGCTTAGAGAGACACCCAGCTGCACCACCCTGTACGGGACTGAATCCCAGCCTTGCCACCTCCAGCCTCCTGGTCTGGGGTAGAATGTGTAATGTCCCAAGGGGTGCTATGAGGATGAAATAAAAGCCTAATAGATATTGGTGATTATAATCCATAAAAATGAAGACTTGAGGACAAGCAATTAAATAGCCAATATTATCAGAATAATTTTTAAAATCACAGCAAAGCAACATAAAACATAATGCCACATTATGCAGGCATTCAAAATAATGGTAACTATTACACAGAGGAAAAGCAAAAATGTTCATGATGCATTGTATTAAAACAACAGGGATATGCATTTGCCTATTGATTCTTTCTAGAATTTTAAAAGGTTTCGAATTTCCTATAATGTCAATTTAATGTAATGACAAAAAATTTCAAGAGAGCATGGTCTTTGCAGTTCTTCCTAGCAGAACATCTGACTCAGAGATGTGTGCTTGTAATTCTCCCTAAAATAAAAGGAACACTACGTATTGCAAGATATTATTTAATGTGTATCTGTATCACCTATAATTTACTATAATTTCTGATTAAATAAAGGGAACAGAATTCAAACTACAAATATGACTGTACGAAAAACATATGATTAGCAGTGAGTGAATAAAAACAAAAGGACCAAATCACAACACAAAAAAGAAATAACAAGGATCCTCAGCTAGTGACACAAAGTCCAAGAATTAAGTTGAGTCTAAGACTGCTTCTCTCTACTTCCTAAATCTTTCTCCCACCCTGGGAGTATTTCTCAGGAGCCTGCTTCGTCCCAGCCTGGCACTCTTCCAGGTGCTCAGGATACGAGAGTAGCCCAGAAAATTCTTGCCCTCGTGGAGCTTACATTCTAGAGTGAGATGAAAGAAAACAAACAAACACATAAAATGTTAGATGCTGGTAAGCACTATGGGAAAACAGTAGAGCAGGGAAGGTGGTGGAAACAAGGAGAAGAAGGAGAGGTGGGACTTTGTAATTTTTTTTAAAAAGCTTTTATTTGGGGATCCCTGGGTGGCTCAGAGGTTTAGAGTCTGCCTTCGGCCCAGGGCATGATCCTGGAGTCCTGGGATTGAGTCCCATGTCAGGCTCCCTGCATAAAGCCTGCTTCTCCCTCTGCCTGTGTCTCTGCCTCTCTCAGTGTGTGTCTCTTGTGAATAAATGAATAAAATCTTTTAAAAATTTTTTTATTTGTTTATTCATGAGAGACATAGGCAGAGGGAGAAGAAAGCTCCCTCCTGGGAGCCTGATGCAGGACTCAATTCCAGGACCCCAGGATCATGACCTGAACCAAAGGCAGACACTCAACCACTGAGCCACCCAGGTGCCCTGGGACTTTGTAATTTTAAGTAGGTGGACAAGACAGACCTCAAGGAGATGATATTCCCAAGAAAGAAGTCAGCAAGTGAGCTCTGCAGAAATCTGGAGGGAAAGCTTTCCAAGGAGAGAAAAGCCAGTGCAAAGGCCCTGAGGCAGGATCACACAGGGCAAGGATGAGGAGCAGCAAGGGGGCCATATTGTTGGAGGAAGAGAGATTCAAAAAAGTAACAGGAAGCCAGGTTATGTGGGTTCATATCTCATGATTCACTCCAGAAACAGAATGTATACTCTGTACTAAGGTAATTGCAGAGAGTTCTTGTTTAGGGTGGTGGCTAAATTTCTAAGCTGTATGGGTGGATGCAGGTCAGTCAAGAGAAACAAAGCATTGAACAAAGAAACAAACAGGGAAAAGGTATAAACTTTGCAAGGTTGAGGGAAGTTCAAGAACCCAGGGAAGCAGTCCAACATCATGTTCAGATTTATTGTATTTGCTTCATGATTACATTAGGCATTTGTGGTTCATTCTGAACCTTAGTATTCTGTTTCACTGCTTCCTTTCCATCACAGAAAAAAAAAAAAGATCTTTTTTAATGAATGGCCTGGAAGATGCTGTCATCTAACTTGGGGCTCTGAGGCAGGGTTTCTCAATCTGGGCACTACGGACATTATGGGCCAGGTAATCCTTTGTTGATGAGGCTGGCCTGCTCACTGTAGGACGTTTAACAGCATCTCTGGGTTCTACGCATCAGATGCCGATGGCAGCCTTCCCACCCCCATCTAATCCCCCAGACAACCAAAACTATCTCCAGATACTGGCAAATGTTGCTGAGGTGGCGAGAAAAACTGTGCCCTGTTGAGATCACTGCTCTAATGTGAATAGATAAAAACTTCATCTCAGTTTATGAATTGTGTTTTATTTATATATATATTTTCCAGACGAATGGGTGATCTTAAGACACAGATCTGTTCCTAACTATTAAACATACCCAAAGCCATGTGCTACCTACTTACAGCTTAGATAGAAGTAAACCCTTCAGATGTTCCAAATACTTTCCTGTCTCAGGGCCTTTGCACTGGCTGCTCCCTCTATTGCTTGTCCCAGGCCACTCCTATTCATCCTTGTTAAAATGTTAGGTGGTAAGGGCCTTGGCAAGCTGCTCCCGGATTCTGAGCAGGAGCATGTTAGGTATTCCTATCATCTGCTCCCATAGCACCTGTACTCATACTTGTAGCAACTATCACAGTTGCAATTAAGTAAATATTTTGGTCATTATTATTTAATATCTCTCCCCATTTCAGCAGGAACCACATCTTCCCTGTTGGCTCCTCCATCTCCAGCAGACTAAAAGAATTAGAGTGGACTCAAATTTAAATGAAAAAAGCATTATCACTGGCCAGCTTTACTACTTTATTACTAACAAATTATGACGTACCGAATAATTGATCAGAGAACAATGATACAGACCACAGCTTAAAAATAAATCTTTTAGGGCAAAACCTTGACTATGAATATACTTTGTGTGAGCATACATTTTTCTCCTTTGTTAACAATAAAAGCTATAAAAAGATTATAGTGAAGGTAAGAGGAACACAAATGGTCCTCTTCATTAGAGGATGAAGGAGCCAAAGAACAGAGTAGATGTACCTGGGATCATCCTTCTGGTTTTTTGAACATTTTATAAGGATTTATTTTAATACTATGTATTCCACACCGCATATATAATCTTATATTGCTTACTCTTTTTATGACTCTTTTATGTCCTCAAATATAATTAAATTCCTCAAAGGGATTAGCATCCTGGCAGTCCCCAGATAAGTTTCAGTGGCTGAGGGACCCTTATAAAGACCTAGAAACACCTTCTAAGAACAGAGTCCATAACTTTTACACGATTCAGTTCAAGTTCAAGACCTACCACCTTATATGACTGTATTTAATTTGAAAGCTTCTAGGGATATTCCCGTTACCCCTGGTCCATCACTTATGAAGAAACAACATATTTTTCTTACCGATTTCCTCTCCTGCTTCAGTTCCTGGACGTAGCGGGCTAACTCCACAGTGATGTTTGAGGTCATGTTCTCAGAGATAACTTCATGCTGCCCAGCATAATCATTCATTTCGTTCAGGGTGGAAAGGAAGGCTTTGCACGCCGTATACCTACGGAAGTGAACACAAGCCATTCTTTTCAAACAATGCCCCATCCCTTCTAACACTGTATGTGCTGATGAAATATTAATTAAAATCAGGTTAATGTGCATTGACCTCCCATAGGATCCTGACAGTTCATTACTCATGAGTGTTCTCGTTGAAATGGCTCAGAATTAATTACAACTGAAACACTTTGCATTTTGTGACACTGAATCACTCTACATAAACAGTACTTGCCTTTGTTAATACTTGGTCCAAATATGACCCCCAAATACCTTTACCTGCTATAGGTACCAATGCAACAGATGTTTAGATCTAAATTAGAGACATGATACATTATAAGGGCTGTACACGGTAAGGGGCCTTAATTTCTAACTGAAAAGGACATATTTCTCAATGAAAGAGACTCTTGATATTATAAAAGCAAATCAACACTGTGGAATGCATAATCCACACTTCCTGTATTTGCTTAGATTATATTCTAAGCTTTTTCCAAGTACCTTAATTGAAACAATCTGGAATAGGCCTAGTGACTCAGCATAAGTTAGTTGAGTAGGGTTTTTATTGTTCTCACTGCCAATTTTAAAACTAGCACAAATATAAGCGGGGAATGCAGCTTCTTTTTGCTGATTCCATTCCTCCTTTCCTTCATTCTTATCACGATGGGTATAAAGATATCACCACATAATTATCAGCGTTATTAAACAGACCTGTATTCTTCTTCCTCCTTTGAGTTCTTCTTAGGCTGGTATTTCTTTGCGAGGTTCCTAAAAGAAAAATGCAGACCTGTCACCTTCTATAGAAAGATGATTGAGAAATCAAAAAAGAAAGATGAAGTCAGTGCTTTTGCTTATGAGAAAAAAAAATCACAAAATATTCACAACTGAAATTCATTTATTTCCTTCCCCCCCCCCCCCCCCCGCCTTCTTAAGTCATCTCTACTCCCAATGTGGGATTGGAACTCATGACTCCAAGACCAAGAGTTGCATGCTCTTCCGACTGAGCCAGCCAGGTGCCCTTGCTTCCTTCCATATTTCTATATGAGTGATAAAGCTCAGGATATGAAGGATCACACAGCTTTGAATCTTTTGCCTCAAAGGTAGAGCACATTAAGAACAGAAAGGGCCGGGCAGCCCCGGTGGCCCAGCTGTTTGGTGCCATCTTTGGCCTGGGGTGTGATCCTGGAGACCCGAGATCGAGTCCCATGTTGGGTTCCCTGCATGGAGCCTCCTTCTCCCTCTGCCTGTGTCTCTGCCTCTGTGTGTGTGTGTGTCTCTCATGAATAAATAAATAAAATCTTAAAAAAAAAAAAAAGAACAGTAAGGGCCACCAGCTGGGTGTTAGCCTGGCTGTTAAGACCTGACTTTAATTGGAGAGTATAGACTATATGTATACATGCAGTGGCTTTCACCTATAGCACTGAACTTTCCTATCAGGCCACCGTTCCCTCCTGATCATCTTCACGATGATCCAAGGAAAGCATATGGACTATGTCAAAATGTTCAAATTAAAAATCCAAGTTCTGGGTGCCTGAGTGGCACAGTTGGCTAATCATCCAACTCTTGGTTTCAGCTCAGGCCATGACCCTGGGGTCATGGAATTGAGCTCTGTGTTAGGCTCCATCCTCAGTGGAGAGTCTGTTTGGGATTCTCTCTCTCTCTCTCTCTTCCCCTCTCTCTCTGCCCCTCCCATTCATGCTCTCTAAAATAAATAAATAAATCTTTAAAAAAAATCCAAATGCCAATGACATGTTGTCAAGGCTGTGTGGCTGCTCCCACAAAAGAGATAATGAAAAAGAAAGGAATTTGGGGGATGTTGGTGCTAAGACATTTAATTAGGAACTTTCAACCTGCCTAGCAGGTTTGCACTGAACACACTCAGATGAGCCAAAATCACTTACATTTCTCTTCCTAATCTCACCTCCGGGTCAAGAGTCCAGATAATCTCTATATTCAACATGCTTAAATTTACACAAAAACCAGGAGGTAAGGCTGAAAACACAAAACTCACTCACATGGGTCTCACTGGCTGATTTCTCACGGGACCTGACTTTAGTGGCTACACTTTATGGAAATAGTCAGAAGAGGCTGACTAACGGTCCACAGTCAGGGTCTTCACTTGACCGCATCTCAGTACTCACTTCCCTGTTTATCCCATGTTTCTATTCCTCTTTTCTAGTAACTCCTTTCATTATTTCACATTCTTTCATTTCCCCTGAATCTACAGATTGACCTAGAAAAAATACACCACCATAAATTTACAATTTTGATCATGGTACACTTTACAAAGTGGACATGATTTCATCTCTAACAGGTGCTACTAGGTGACATGAGGCAATGGACTTTAGTAAAAAGGACATTGCTCTAGGATGGCATGACTCCAGACAAATGACTGAGCAAGTCTGTGGGTCCAGCTCCTCATCTGTGCGTTCAAGGGGGTTGGATGAAATGACCTCTGTTGCTCCTTCAAGTTTGGAAATTCTGGGAGAATATGTAACACCCAACAGAATATCCATTGTTGCAACTTAAAGATATGAAGGATGCCTGGGTGGCGCATTCGGTAGAGCCTGACTTATGATTTCGAGGGTCATGAATTCAACCCTGACATTGGGCATAGAGCTTACTTAGAATAATAGTAAGAAAATAAAAGTAAATTGAAGACATGAGTATATAATTTCAAAATTATAATTAATTTTTAACTATTAGGGACACCTGAGTGGCTCAGCAGTTAAGTGTCTGCCTTCAGCTCAGGGCATGATCCTGGAGTTCCAGAATCGAGTCCCACGTCGGGCTTCCTCATGGAGCCTGCTTCTCTACCTGTGTCTCTGCCTGTGTCTCTACCTCTCTCTCTCTCTGCTTCTCATGAATAAATTAAATAAAATCTTTAAAAATAAATAAACCATGTCACATTTTCTCTGCTGATACTCTGGATGCATAGTACAGTTACCTAATAACCTAGGTCCAAAAAAATGTTGAAAAGCAGTTATTTCCTTAAAAATGTGGTTTAGGGGCCCCTGGCTGGCTCAGTTGGTGGAGTACACAGCTCTTGATCTCAGGATTGTGAGTTCAAGCCCCACACTGAGTATAAAGATTACTTAAAAATAAAATCTTTGAAAGAAAGAAAGAGAAAGATACTTGAAAAAAATAATGCAAAGGAGAGAAATCATCTTTGTTGAAAGCAGAGTAAAGCTCTTGAGTTAGTTTACCAATATCACTCCTTTTTTTTTTAAATTTTTATTTATGATAGTCAGAGAGAGAGAGAGAGAGAGAGGCAGAGGGAGAAGCAGGCTCCATGCACCGGGAGCCCCACGTGGGATTCGATCCCGGGTCTCCAGGATCGCGCCCTGGGCCAAAGGCAGGCGCCAAACCGCTGCGCCACCCAGGGATCCCTACCAATATCACTCCTTAAAAGGTAGACTTAATAAAAATAATCCATCTTAGTTATGGGTGGCAGGGATGGAGGGGAACACATGTAAAGCAGATGTCTATATAACCAAAAAGTTTTTTCCACATATACATAGAGAGGCATATATGGGAGACTGGGGTATTAAAAACCCTAGTAGCAGGCAGCCCCGGTGGCACAGCAGTTTAGCGCCGCCTGCAGCCTGGGGTGTGATCCTGGGGACCCGGGATCGAGTCCCACATCGGGCTCCCTGCATGGAGCCTGCTTCTCCCTCCGCCTGTGTCTCTGCCTCTCTCTTCGCTCTCTCTGAATGAATGAATAAATAAATCTTAAAAAAAAAAAAAAACCCTAGTAGCTGCATGTGAGAATTTTTTTTTTCTGTAGAGAGGAAGAGGGGAGGGAGGAATGTGGGGGGAGGGACAGAGGGAGAGGGAGAAAGAATCTTAAGCAGGCTCCACGCCCAGTGAAGACCTCAGTGTGGGGCTTGATCTTATAACCCTGATATCATGACCTGAGGTGAAATCAAGAGTCAGATGCTTAGTCAACTTAACTACCCAGATGCCCCTGTATGTGAGATGTTTTTAATGCATGGTTTAAAATATTAATCATTTCTTCTGTTAACTATAAATTATAAATTGAAAATTTCACTTCTAAATTCACATCTTACATAAAAATTCTTTTGAAACTTAAAAAAATATATTTTATTTATTTATTTGAGAGATGGGAGATAGTGAGAATGAGCAGAGGCAGGGGAGAGGGAAAACAGGCTTCCCACTGAGCGGGGGGCCCCATGAGGGGCTCGATCCCAGGACCCTGAGATCATTACCTGAGCCAAAGGCAGACACGTAACTGAATGAGCCACCCAGGTACCCCTGAAACTGTTATTTCAACGATTTCTTTAAATCCACATTTTCTGGGGCACCTGGCTGGCTCAGTCAGAAGAGTGAGTGACTCTCGATCTTGGGATTGGGAGTTTGAGGCCCACATGGGCTCTAGGGACTACTTAAATAAAACAAACCAAAAAACCCACTTCATATTTTAAAAATGTATTAAAAATTAATAAATCCACATTTTCCTTTTAGCTTCTGGTCTTAAGCCTTCATAAAAATAATTTAAATTTTGGGGCAGCCCCAGTGGCGCAGAGAGGTTTGGCGCCGCCTGCAGCCTGGGGTGTGATCCTGGAGACTGGGGATTGAGTCCCACATCAGGCTCCCTGCATGGAGCCTGCTTCTCCCTCTGCCTGTGTCTCTGCCTCTCTCTCTCTCTCTCTCTCTGTGTGTCTCTCATGAATAAATAAATAAAATCTTAAAAAAAAAATTTTTGTGTGTGTGTAAAAAAATTTAAATTTAATATCCAATTAAAGAAAATGTAGCTTGAATATATTCAGGTAAAACCAGCACTCTTTAAAAAAAAAAAAGATTTTATTTATTCATTTGAGACAGAGAGAGAGAAAGAGAGAGAGCATGAGCAGGAGGGAGGGGCAAAGGGAGAAAGAGAAGCAGATTCCCTGCAGAGCAGGGAGTCAAACATGGGGCTCTATTCCAGGACCCAGAGATCATGACCTGAGCTGAAGGCAGGCAAGACACTTAACCATAAGAGCCACCCAAGTGCCCCCAAACCAGCACTCTTTATAGTTCCTTCTTACTAGTCCAATCCTAACCAGGATTAAGGACCACGGGTGAGGGATCCCTGGGTGGCGCGGCGTTTTGGCGCCTGCCTTTGGCCCAGGGCGCAATCCTGGAGACCCGGGATCAAATCCCACGTCGGGCTCCCGGTGCATGGAGCCTGCTTCTCTCTCTGCCTGTCTCTCTCTCTCTCTCTCTCTCTCTCTCTTTGTGACTATCATAAATAAATAAATTAAAAAAAAAAAAGGGACCACAGGTGATATTCTGTTGTGGGTGACAGCCTGTAAAGACCATCAAGTTGTGATGAATGAGTATCACTTTGACCATGTTAGCATATACAGCATTCAAAATGCTTCTTAAAAGCACCAATGAATAATTCACTCTATAAATGCCAGCAGAAAACTAAAAGCTTAAAAGGTCTGGAAGGGAAAATCAAGATATTTCTCTCAGGGACCACTAGAAAGAAAGATCAACTTTCAATTCCATTCTCTGGAAATGGGCTTTCTCACTCTATTTTGTATGAGGTTACTCAAAAAACAACAAGCAAGAAAAAAACCCACAAAGAGTAGTTTTAAATTTATGGGATCTTTCTAAGAAATTTTAAGTGTTTTATATATTAAACTTGCTCTTCAGACAGGCTAATTAAGAGGTAAGAGAAAAATATAATCCTCTCATAAGGATACTGGATTTTAAACTTGGTTGATCTGAAGAGCCACAGGGAAGCTTAAAAAGGAGATACC